GGTTCCCAACATTGACATATCAACACACATTGATTTATTTCCTACTTGTTCAATAAACTTTATTTATTATTCATTAACTGATAATATTAATTAGGTATTTCATCAAAATAGTTAAATGCTATTCAGTTATATTTCATCCTATTTTCTCATTCAGTATCATTATTAAGTCTTTGAAATTGTTCCGACTAATTTTAAACATTTTATTATAACTAAAGATGGGTATTAAAGAGGAAGAATGTGTTTATTAAATCTCAGCGAAATAATTTGAAGTAAATCCGATGTTTTGCCTGACAATCTGGTGCAAGTTTTTTCAAGGAACGCAAACTGTGCTTGAAACACATTCCTAAATCCTCCGATGATGTAAGAAAGCTTGAGAACAAATCAGCGATAGCATTACACTCCATTGAATCGGGTCATACAGTTGATTTCAGTGGTACAAGAATCATTCAAAAAGGCTTTAATTCTTACAAAGAACGACTAACAGCCGAAGCTCTACATATATGGGCTAGTTCAGACAGTATTAATAGGAGAGATAAAATACAACTAGCTGTCCTATGGCAACTAATAATTATAAGGTAGACCTGAACTCCTTATTCCATTTGATCTGTCTATATCATATTAACTGATCAACGGTTTCAAATCAGTTGGCTTATCTGAATATGTTAAACAACTGACTGGAACATTAAAATAACACAAACGTTCAATTACAAATACATTCCTCTTTGAATTCAGTCTTTTGTCTTGTTTACTAATCTTATTTATTTATCTTAATTTGATGCATGCTGTGACATTTTTGATTCATTTCATATATATAATGATATGTTTTTCCTAATATACGCAGTCCGAAGACAATATATAGTTGAATGAAATTTCTTCTCACTTACGTATACACACAATCTCTTATCTTAACACTCTTCGTTTCATACCACATGTCTCTTACACATTAATGTAAATACCTACTTTAAACATTGTTCACGTTGATTGGATGACTTATTCAATATACAGTAAACTAGAGAACCATGTACTTATTTATATTCGATGATTTTGTTGTTTGATCATACTTCAGCTGAATAAGCTTGATTGTCTACATTCAAGAAGCCATAAACTGTTGACAGACTAGATTGTAATGAATATTACGAAATGGATTTTTTATTTATCATACTCTAAGTAAACTTTTTTATTTAGGGTGATTGAAAAGAGAAAATGAACCATAATATATGTAGACATCATATAGTAAATTAACAGTATTAATTGTACTTTTCTATTTTCACTTGAATGATCAAGTAAATTAACTGAATAAATATCAATATAGTTAGATCTGTATTTACAATAGAAATGAAATCTTTTTCAATGTCTAAGATATATATCTGTCTCTAACAAAAATATGATAATCATTTTGAAGAAAAGGGTTTGAAAAACCAGTTAAAGTTAAGTAAGTAAATGTCTAGACAATAGTGAAATCATATGAACAAGATGTTGTTCGATGTTAAACGACATTATACTAAGGATTAGTGAGATATTCAAAACTGGAGAGATAAAGTTAAGCTGTAACGAAGAGTAACTTCTGAAGTACATGTAACCTGAGATAAGTTTTCAAAGTCACAATTTCATTTGTCAATTTAACTGGACTAATTGATACACTTAAGAAATTTCAATTAAAACAACAAAATCCATGCAATTCTTAAATAAAATGATTAAATTTAAATCAAATGATCTTTATTGTTTATAACAACATACTGTTATTTAAACATAAATTTTCAATTGACTAATAAGAAAGAAGCGTTAAGAACATCTATTATAAATGAACTGTTCACATTCCCAACACAACCATTATAGAAATCGTAGTAGGTGGCTAAGAGTGAACATTTATGAACAGTTTTTAAAAGGAATAAGGTATTAAAGGTCATTGGATTAATAGTTAAGATAATATTCTAAATTATATCTGAGTGTTATGAAGTATTAACCAGTTGGTTTTTCATTCTGTTGTTCACGTTATGCTTAATGAGACGAACATTGTTTATTTGAGTATTGTTTCCTATCATGTTTTGTTATGACTATTGATAACCTTATTATTTTTTGTTTATATTTTGAAAACTTGATCCAATGAAAATTACTCCAAAAAAGTCTTAGATTTAATCTTTTATGTGTTATTCACTGGAAATTTGTGATAAACAAGAGACTAAGATGAAAATATATTCCAACATTCGATAGTTTTCAATGTTTTTGTAGCTGATTTTTAGCCGTAATAAATACTATATTCAAAGATATATAGTGGCTGGCAGTGGAATGCGGGACGCGGAATACGTCCTACTCGGGGTTCGTCAGCTGAATATACCTACATCTCAGAGTTGATTTTTACTCCAGCGCTCAGTAGCTAAATAAATAACATGATGGAGTTTAAAGAGAATGGTACTGAGTTCGAGCCTTGGAGAGAACATCAACTGTAGGATGCAGGTACGTCTAGCTGACGAGTCACAAACAGGACGAAACGTGTGTACTGAATTTCATTGCTAGCCATTATTCATCTTTTCTTGTAGTGCTTATGAATTAGGGTAATACTGAGGCAATACTCACAGTACGCATATATGCCAATAAGAGAATGGTCGATTGCAGTCCTTAACATTAATGGGGAGATTCAAGTAAACAATATTAAGTGAATTTAATGTTACATTCAGTTTAGAAAAGAACAGGTTATCACACTATCTGTGAGAGAAGACCAGTTTTAAAGAAGATGTATTCACTTTTAATAGTTGGAATAATACGTGTGATTAAGGATAATCTTATTAATGTGTTATTATCTGCACTGAAATAATGTATAAATGCGCAATGTTTCATGTTAAAGTATGCATCATCACTGACAGATTCTAAGAAGTAAAAATATCCAATAAGTTAACACTTCGAATGATAAAGAAGTAATTCGTAAACTTTCTATTCATCATGTGAATATGACTGATTTATGGAATTCTCGAAGTATTTCATTAATAAGCACAAATCACTTCACTGATCTTTTAGTTAAATTAGATCAATCTACAATTTTATATCTGACTTAAAACTAAAATAATAGCATGTTATTATTCGACCATTTAAGCATAGTATTATCAGGGGAATAACGGAATATCAGTCAAACATGAAATGTGTTTATTATAGATGCTTTGTTTCCTAAAAGATAAAGAAATACATCATGATTGAATATATATGTAATTTGGGTAATTCAATATAAGTTTTGATTCTATTGTTATATTATCTCTAATGGATTACATGAAATCGATTAGTTTCAGCCGATCCGCATATGTATATATAAAGCCTATAATTTAAAGAAAACTTACCAGTGACTAATGTTCGTTTTTTACTCTGTTCTATACAAAATATTTCAGAATAAATGAAAATAAATTGCCCTGAGAGGTAATAGTATGTTGATGTTTACACTATAGATATTTAAAATGTAAGGTTATTGATTGTGAGATAATGGATAAGGATTTAATAATCAGTCTTTTCACATATTGTTACATGTCTTAAGATGGAATGACAACCGATTCATTTATGTTATACAACTTGTCAAACACCAACTTCAACTGTTAAGCTTAATAAAAGACTAGTATTTGAGCGAAGAATATTGTTTTTCTTTTCAGTGAACTTTACGTTATACTTCAGGAACTCTTTGAGCAACTTCAACGCAATGGGTTGTTCACAACATTTTAATCGTTTAAAGATCCCTATCATGTTAAAGACTAGTATTTGAACGAAGAATATTTTTTCGATAAATTATCTTCAAGTTCTACAATTATATATCCAAATTAATAATCCGAAAAGTGATCAGGTTAAGGGCTAAGTACATCGTTTAAAGCATGTGAATTTAGGATTGTTACTAATTTTTCACACAATATATCCTTTCACTAAACGCTTGACCGAATTGTAATTGCACTATTATTTCTCTTACCTCATCTCACCCTTATTAATTTTGATCATGGATCTTAAATTTCACTTAACATATACGCAGATTCAAGTTAACATTCTATGTGAGTCATATCAATATTGACAATTTTATTGTAATTTGTTTAATAATCCTAAATTCATATGCTTTAAACGATGTATTTTGCCCTTAACCTGACCACTTTTCGGATTATTAATTTGGATATATAATTGTAGAACTTGAAGATAATTCACCGAAAAAAATATTCTTCGTTCAAATACTAATCTTTTAACATGATAGGGATCTTTAAACGATTAAAATGTTGTGAACAACCCATTGCGTTGAAGTTGCTCAAAGAGTTCCTGAAGTATAACGTAAAGTTCACTGAAAAGAAAACTACTCTTAAGTTTATTGTTTAACATGCACAATGAAATGTCAAGATGCAGTCATCGACTAGTTACAGTATGGTAAAACACAGGCAGAAAATCCAATGACAATAAAACATTATTATTACTTCATCGTTCTCCACCACATCGCTAGTTTACATGGCATCCATCACAGTTAATATATCATATTTTACAGGGATCAATACTTAAGTATAAACTTCAGAGGTTTCATTTAAAAGCGTATGTTTTCAGATAATTCATGTCCTAAAGTACATCATTAAAAACAGATTGCAATCCCGCTCGCGGGATCGTGGATGCGCACTGCTGAGGAGTCCCACAATAGGACGAAACGGCCGTCCAGTGTTTCCAGGTTTCCAAAGGTGGTGGTCTAACATCAATCGGTTCATGATCTCGGTCAAAAACGTAATAATCTCCACAACCTTTATACTAGAAATATTTACTAGCTGAAATGTTTATATATCCCGTTGAATTCAGCTTATCAATTTAAAACTTGTCATCTTTCAGCAACTATGTACAACATTGTTGTTTGATACATTAGGCAGTTATCAATGATGAAAGTTTAATGTTCATTAACACAAGTATGTTTAATGAAAATGAATTTTTTCCAATAATGTTACATTTGTTTTCTTTTAAATTTTACTTGAAGTATGAAGTTATTAATCTTAGAATTTATAATTTCCTAGGTTATGATCGTTCTATACCGGGTTACTCTAGATTTAGAATAATTGGTGATGTTGGACGAGGAGAGCATACATTACAAATTACAGATGTTCAACGTGATGATGCTGGAGAATATGAATGTCAAGTCACTCCAGTCCCAGTTAATAATCATCCATTATTAAGAAGAAAAACGTATCTAGAAGTTCTTAGTAAGATTTAATTGAAATGTTTCTCATTGCAACGGTTTTTATTATAATCTTTTATCACACAGTTGCTGGCTTATTTTAAATTTGTTGCGTACATCATTTTTAATTTGTTCAGATACGTGGTGGTTCTCATTGTTTAGCATCCATTAAGTTGATTAATTCAACAACTATTTAAAAGTAAACACTAATGATAATATGTGATATGATAGGAAAAAAAGTGATTTCACATTTGTTAACCACTTATTCATGTATTATGCACTAATATGTATCATTATTAATGTACTATGAGTCTTAAGCCTTTGTAACAATGTCATCCAAACAGTAGATAATAATACTTATTATTGAGATGGTGGAGAAGATTTGTAGCTCAGGTAGATGATTTGGGTGGAGTTTTGTTCTCTGAGCTGGATGGTTTGGTCGTGGAGCTTTCATCGTTCTTCTGAACGACATCATCAGCACAAACTTCAGATAGAAGTGAAGTGTTCGAATTTCTCCACATGTGTTTCACAGCTTGTTCTGTGCACCTCGATGTTGATTGGTTCTTGTTGACCTTAAATTTATCATTGTTTACTTCTTTGTTTTGGTTGTGTCTCCCATTGGTTTGATTTTTGTTCCTATATTTATGCATGATTTTCCTGATTGGTTGATAAATTGGATTGATTTCAATATGTTTGTTCGAACACTTCACTTCTACCTGAAGTTTGTGCTGATGATGTCGTTCAGAAGAACGATGAAAGCTCCACAACCAAACCATCCAGCTCAGGGAACAAAACTCCACCAAAATACTTATTATTATTTAACTAGTTACGATGTTATTATAACTGTTCACTTTAAATGATAGGAGAAGGTTTAGTTGTAGATACAACAAGGTGCACAGGTTTCCAATGTCTCCAACAAAACTCAATGTTCAGTTTTTCAGTACCGCTGTTATAAAAACTGTTTATGTTGCATAATTTCCAATATAATCGTAATTTAAGACCTTACAAAATCTTGGTTTAATAATCACAGATCATCACGAGAATAGTTCTGGCTACAAAATTTTTTTTTTAAATCATGATCATACAAATCAATAAGTTACTTTCCTGTCCCCATCCTAATGTTGAAAATGCTATTAAATACATTTTCAATTTAGTTTAAACCAGTTTTGGCATTTTTATAAGGATGGTTAAAATGTAACGAAATATTGTGAATAGTATTAAAGAAAATGTAACACAACAAGAAGAACCAGAAGCTAAATTTTATCATTTCTTTGAAGAGAAATTTATCAATATACTCAGGATTATTTAATTTCTGTATATGCATGCTTCATCAGCATGCCTTCAACGAAACTCTGATCTGACATAAGAATCGATTTCATAACTTTCTTCATCCATTTAAAAGTTCAAGAAAATCAAACGATTGGCTGAGATATACCTATAATAGTTTGATTTTACTTCAAGTTATTCTGTTAATTCGAATTTTTAGTGTACCCATACACTAGTTGGGTTTTCTACCTACCAATATATAAGTTGCTTTAACTTAATTAGTCTAGTTTATTAAGTTGAGGAAACAGCCATTTAACTGAATAAAATTTACAAAACAGAAGTGAAGTTATGATGGGAATATTTTCTCTCATAATCGATTTTCTATCAAAAGTCTTAGTCGCGCTAAAAATAGGCTACTATCAAACCGTACATTTCATACGATTCGTAATTTAGTTTAGCGACTTACACGTTTCCTGGTCGAATTTGGTTGCAAGTTATTCTTCATAATGACATCAACTAGTATAACACTTAAAATCATCATACACCGGACTACATTTTATTCCGTCCTGTCTTATTACTAGACTCCTCAGCATTCCCCATCTAATATCTCGTCCACAGGACTCGTACCTAGGACCTTCGAACTTTAGAATTCTAGATCACTGATAATGTCTAGATCCAAACAATACATAATGTTGTGTGAGCATTTTCCATTGTCTTTGATGGATAATTGCCCCACACCTGAATAATTTATTGAATTATTGAAATTCTCAGTGAGTCTGACAACTTTAGACTTCTTAGTTTGAGCAAAACTGTATATATTTCCAATTTCTGTCAATTACTCCCTGATTGTCAGTTCCTGTTCATTTGTTATCATTTCTGGAAAAAAATGACATTTCCACAAACTATCACCACAGTGTATGGTAATTTTTGTCACTATGATGTTTTACATTTTTTTTAACACTTATTGTTATGAGTCACTTTCTCATGACTAGTAAATACTATAGTTACAAATCCCAAAACTAATATAAAAATAATGCAAGACGATAACAAGTTTTTGTTTACTTTCTTTACGTGTTTACATTCAGTTAAACCGAATGAACCACAGATTTTATATCAAAATGTACAGTTACCCGACAGGAAATTGATCATATCTCAACCAGATCCTATTTTGCGTATTAGTTTAGTTTGTTCTGCAGTTGGTGGCCGACCAGCTCCAAATTTCAAATGGTTACTTAACCGTCATGAAATACCAAATATGGAGGTAAAAACTAAAACACCGATGAGTCCTAATGATGTAACCAAAATGAGTAAGTCATTTACTTTAACTGATGACTTTTTCATTGAACTTGCTACCCTCGTTTAATAAAATAAACAGAGTAACCTTGAAGCAAATATAGGTTCAGTGGAAACAGACACCTAAAATACGTATTGCTATTTGTTTATATACTTGACTGATAGTATAATGCAGATCATCTAATTTAATCACTGAAAAATTCCCAATTGTATGAACGAATAATTTTCTTTTCGATAATTTCTCATCAGGTTCTACAGTTATAAATCCAAATTAATAATCCATAAAATTGACCAGATTTAAGGCACAGTACATCATTTAAAATTGTAATTTACTTAGTAATTCTTTTAAATGAAGTTAGGTTACCTTTTTGATGACCATCTGATACATCTAGTAATGAAGCTATAAATGATATACCCTTATGAAAACAATAACAAATGCAGACTTTGTCAGGTATATGCTAAATAGCGATTGAAATGCTTCATGTGCACATCAACTGATTCAAAGACTTATTTTGAAGCAGCTTGTCTCTACATGATTACGCAACAAACAGAGCTCTCTTCTAATGGAAAAAAAGTTAATTTATATGTATATGAAATGTATGCAGTATATTTATGTAAACTACAATGCAAGAAGCAAACTAATTACATTACTATCTATCAAGAATAAATTATTTAATCACTTGAAAGTAAACAACTCTATAATCAAAGTGACACTTCATTTTTGTAGTGAAAGTACTTGAACATTTTATTAATATCAGTGATCAGTTACAAGAAATACTATGAGGATATAATTTCATATTTGAAATGTTGAAAATATATTCGATTATTGGATTAGTTAATGCAAGAATGAACTTTGAGGTTTCAGGTCAGTGTTATACAACCGACTGTTAATTTATTGATAGTTTTATAAATGTACGTCAATGCATACTGAAATGCATTTTTAAATAGCAAATGTGACTTCATTAAGGAAAGTATATTCAAAAATCTTTATCACAATATCTCTATATAAAATGCCTAATAAGGGACAAATTTCTTATAACCACTTAATCAACATGTTTACAATATGAAGAACTAATGATCACAAGTATTTATTTTTATTTACTTTTAATGAAATTCAGAGTATTTCTTATATGAGTTTACTTCTTCGTTTCTTCCAGATAATCTGCTCAAAATTTGGGGTAAATTACATCCTATTATCAATGAAAAAGAGAATGATGAACAGTCTAGTCTAAGTATCCTTAAAGCTGGTTTAGAAGATGGTGATGAAATTGTATGCAGTGTGTCAAACTCTGCAACGCAAATAAATCATGATCCAATGAAACGTAATTTATCGATAACAATTACAGTAGAAGTTCATAGTGAGTTGATGATCATTTTTCTAAATTATTTCATTGTCTTTTGTTTGTTGAATCCATAACAAATAACAAATCGAATAATTAGACAATTAGTTATTTTTAATAAGTATTGACTTTGTAATTATAAGTAAGTAAATTTATTTTACAAAGATGAAGTAATTCTCCATAAATAATAAGAATTGACAACATATACAAATGCCTCCTCTCATTATATTGTATTTTATTAAGCATCAGGAATGCTAAAAGATAATGCATGATATACAAATGCAATCGACTATTCAGCCAAAGAACATCTTGTAAACTTCTTTAAGTAATATAATTTTATAATCAATTTGGAATCGAGTTGATTGGAAAAGAGAATAGTACGTTTATTATGATTATGAAGATTACATAACAGTCTTTCAATAACTAGACCTTAATCTTATTTTATAACATTTTATAATGCTAATATTGAATTACGGTCAAGGACAAAGAAGGCAGGCCAATCACTGAAATTCAACAACAGCGGAACAGATGGGTAGATTACTTCGAGAAACTCTTGAATGGGCAAGCTCCAATGATTTCACCGGACATCGAAGTAGCACACACAGACCTTCTTATAGATGTCACTCCATCAAACGAAGAACTCAGGATGATCATCAGACAAATCAAGAGCGGAAAAGCAGCAGGACCTGACAATATACCAGCTATAGTTCTAAAGCCAGACATCGAAGAAACTACAAACATGCTTCCCCTTCTATTCCAGAAGATTTGGGAGAAGGAACAAGTGCCGATGGAGTAGAAAGAAGAACACATCATCAAGATTCCAAAGAAAGGAGATGTGAGCAAATGTGAAAACTACAGAAGCATCACATTACTGTCAGTACCAGGGAAAGCCCTCAGCAGAGTGTTGCTTAACCGGATGAAAAACGCAGTAGACGCCCAACTTCGAGATCAACAAGCTGGATCTCGTAAGGATCGGTAATGCACAGACCAAATTGCGACACTACGGATGATCGTCAAACAATCAGTTGAGTGAAACTCGTCACTGCACACCAACTTTATTGATTATGAAAAAGCATTTGACAATGTGGATAGGAGAAAGTCGTGGAAACTTCTTCGACACTACGGAGTTCCTGAGAAGATTGTCAAGATTATCTGTAACTCATACGACGGACTACAGTGCAATGTCGTGCATGGAGGTTAGCTGACAGACTCATTCCAAGTAAGTACTGGAGTCAGACAAGGTTGCACAGTCTCTCCCTTCCTCTTCCTCCTGATGTTCGATTGGATTATGAAGACCTCGACATCTGAGGGAAAACATGGCATACAATGGACAGTTCAGAGTCAATAAGAAGATTTGGACTTCGCAGATCACCTAGCCCTTCTATCTAATACACACGAACAAATGAAGATAAAGACAATCAGTGTAGCAGCAGTCTCTGTATCAGTAGGCCTCAACATACACAAGAAGAATACCAAGATCCTCAAATACAACACGGAGAACAGCAATTCAATCACTCTTGATGGCAAAACTCTGGAAGATGTAGAATCCTTAACATACCTGGGCAGCATCATCGATGAACAAGGAGGATCAGATGTAGATGTAAAGGCAAGGATTGGCAAAGCAAGGGCCGTATTCCTACAATTGAAGACCACATGGGACTCAAAACAACTTTCAACCAATATCAAAGTGAGAATCTTCAATACGAACATCAAGACAGTTCCACTGTACGGAGTTGAAACTTGGAAAACTACTATAATCATGATCACGAAGGTATAAGTGTTTATAAATAGATATCTACGCAAGATACTCAACATCCATTGGTCGGATACCATCAGCAACAGCCATCTGTGGGAGAGAACAAATCAGCTTCCAGTCGAAAGGGAAATCAGGAAAAGACGATGGAAACAAATAAGACATACATTACACAAATCATCAAACTGCATCACGAGGCAATCCCTAATTAGGAATCCTGAAGGGAAGCGGAAAAGAGGAAGGCCAAAGAACACATTACGTTGAGAAATAGAAGCCGATATGAAAATAATGAATAACAACTGGAAGGAGCTGGAAAAGATAGCCCAGGACAATGTTGGATGGAGAGTACTGGTGAGCGGCCTATGCTCCTTCACGAAGAGTAAGTAAGTAATATTGAATTAAGTAACTTCTAGCTGAGTTGTTCCCTATTTTGCTTCAATAATATATCATTTTTAGAATAGGCATACAAGAATAAGCTTTTTATAATCTCAAAATCAGTATACTTGAACTATTTTTTAATTTTTCATCATCAATGATTTAGTTATTGAGAATGTAAGAAAAATCAACTATGTCCCTGTCTAAATAATTAAACATTGATATTGATATGACTTATATCACTGCTTTGTATTCCATAAGCAATGATGGTATTTTAAGTATAAAAGTATGAGTAATACCACGTATTAGAGTATACATCTAACAGAAATCACAAAACAATTGTTTTGTATCAGTCTCAAAATGCAATGTAACGATATGAATAGATTAGTAGACGAAGAATGTCATAGCGTTTTACATTTAGAAGTAAAAAAATAACATATTATTGTTGATACACTACATTATCTGAGCATTACTATGGAGTTTTACATTTTCAGTTTATCTTGTCGCCTTTCACTAAACATATATATATATATATATATATATATATATATATATATATATATATTCATTTTAGACAAGCAACAGTTCAGTTATTGTTTCATTTTTTTACGTGTGTTTGTCTAATGCTCAAAGATAACTACTAAACATTAAACCAATCGTTGTACCTGATATACTTCCCTTCATCCATATACTGCTAGTGCATATCCACGAAAATTGTCTAAAACATGAAACATGATTTTGGTATGAAATAAACTTAACTCAAAGATAAGCCAATTAAGTGGATAGATATTTTTATATATTGGCAGTGTAATGATAAAAATCAAAGATTAGTTCTTATCATTTAATAATGTTATAGTTAGCGGGAGCTACCACCTTCAAATTGGTTACATACATTTATAATACTTTTCAAACAATCAGTTCATTGAAACCTTATTCCCATCAACCTGAAAATAAGGTGTCTGTATATTTATACAGTCTAAAATCTAGTCATTCTATACTAAGATGAATAGATATTTGTTTATTTGTAAGTTTTATTATTAAAATTAAAAATATTTTGTTGCTATCCATTTCTTTCTAATTCAAGATGAATAAAACTAGTTGGTTTAATGTACATTAAAACTATAATACAGCTTACTTACTGATGGAAATAAGTTTAATGCAAAAAACAAGCTTCATACTAAAATATTTTTTCTTATATCAGATGACGGTAAAAACTTCACATGTTCACTAGAGTTCGTATTTAGTTTTCTCACTGTATACACGAACTGTGTTTATCACGGAATTTTGTATTGGCACACAGTTTTGTCTCCAGGTTCATATAACTTATGATTAAATGACAATTGATTTTTAACAGCTACTATAAATTCTCCGACTAGTTGATATGAGATTTTTATTGAAATCTTACAATCAAATTACAGAACCGATCTGCTGATTGTCCTAACAGGCATTATATTAAGAAGTGAAACGAGATACCATTTTTCGCAGCATCAGCATTATATTTTGTTTAGTGGTGAGAACAAGCTACCACAACTTGCACTTGCACTGGTTTAGTTTCATTAATCAATCACCTTGATAACCGTTGTTATATAAATCTCAACGGTGTTTGAAATTAGAAGGCAATATGAAACGATGACTACAGTTTATTACTGGATAGAACGGATAACAAACCTACAATCATATTGAGTGATATTTAATCTATCGACATTTTAGGTAGAGAGAGATATGTACGTAATCTGTCATGTGATAAAGCGTACACGTCTATACAGATATGATAGTAATCATAATAGTACAAAGCTATATACAAACTGTTACTGTTCAAATAACATTATCTGTTACGTAAGTTAATGAAAAAGGTTTAACAAAATCAACCATAGTCGAAATTGATTGCAGGAAAGTTTCTATAAACTCTACAACCAAATCCTATTATATAAGACAACGTTAGTTGTCATTTAGATATTATCAGAAGGAGTTTTGCAGAGATTTTACAAATTTCAATAGTTGAAATCATGAGTCAATTGAAGCTAAACGACCATGGAAAAACTGGAAGCACTGGACGGCCGTTTCGTCCTAGTATGGGACTCCTCAGCAGTGCGCATCCACGATCCCGCCCCCCTGCACGAGATCCAAACCCAGGATCTGTCAATCTCACGCGCGAGCGCTTAACCACTGAGCCGGCATCCAATGGTTTTAATGTCTAACTTCCACCAAACCACGAAAGTGCGCCACCGTACACCATTATCTTCAGTGAGCTGATATCTCACAACAGACCTGGTCTCGCACTGCTGAGGAGTCCCACAATAAGACGAATCGGCCGTTCAGTGTTTCGAGATTTTCCATGATGGTCTAGCTTCAATTGACTCAGGATTTCAACTATTGGAATTGAGATATTAGTAAAAATAAAAACTTACTGGTATTTAATTTACAACAGTCAAAAGAGCCGATTTTTAATTTCAGAATAATAAATTTTAAGTTTTATTCCACACAGTTTTCAATTTATAAATAAAAAAAGAATCACCAGTATATACAAACAATCTATAGGATAAACCTGATAATATAAAAAGGGGAATGATTGTTTCATTCTCTACGACTGTCTATTTTTAAATTTACAAAACAATCGTTAACTCTTATGAAACATTACAGTGATTAATTCATTAAAATTTATATCAAGTTCATTCTCCATTTAGATACTACTTAATAACGAGTCATTAAGAGTCAGAGGTTTTATTGTTTTAATAGTGTACTAGTTGAAACAAGGAGTGATTATTATAAAATGATACTGGACATTAATCTTGTGAAGGTCATAAGTAGTATCTGATATTAGCTTATAGTATATGTAAGAAATACATATAAAAGTTTCAACTAGCATAATGATGATTAACTTCTTTTCATTTTATCGTAATAAATAAGCATAGTTTAAACACTTGAGATCTCAAAGCATATATTCAGTCTCTGACACACTCTCTCTCTCTCTCTCTCTCTCTCTCTCTCTATATATATATATATATATATATATATATATATATATATATATATATATATATATATATATATATATGATTGACCTCTAACTTTTGTTATTTATATCTGTCTATCTTAACTATATAAACAACCATTTTGGTTGATAAATAATTTAGAAAAATCGTTTTTTAGGAGATAATAAACAGTTAAATGAAAATATTTTCTTTATTCCTTACACATTATATACGTAATTGAGTATTTTCAGCAACTTTTTCCAGTGTATTCATAATTAACATACTTCATTGCACTTGCCATCAAGAACAAACAACTTCAATCTTGCCGGCTCAAGGTGCATATACATTTATATAGCCATGGTTACTACACTTTACTTATTTATTTGTCTGATTATGTTTTTCTTCCCACTAAAATCAACAAACAAATTTGAAAAGTGGTTATTTATCCCTTTAAATTTTGACTGTAGATTTCTCCTTAAAAAATAATTGATTTCATCACCCATTATTAATCATTCTAATGATTCATACCGCATTTTGTATTCGTGATTATTCAACCTCTTTGAAGTAGTATTCTACATAACTCGGGGTTAATTATATATACTTTTAAAGTGAATCCGTGCTTTTATGTTCATTCTGCTCAGAGTTGTGAAAAAGTCAAGAAATCAGATTTATTTATCATAAATGTGTTTTTATATTACTTTTGCAGCTCCTCCCGGTCCTCCGAAAATTGTCAGTCCTGAAACAAACCATGTTTATTTAGATGGTGAACAGTTACGTGCAGTATGTGTTTCCTCACCACCTGGCAAACCTTTAGGTGGACTATTCTGGAGATGGTTAATAAAAACAAGCCAAGTTGATGACAGCGATATTCAGAAAATCAGTGGAATTGGGGGTAGGGGCGGTGCTAGACTCAGTGATTACACATCTGTTGAAGCCTATCTACGAAGCTTAGACAGTAGCAATAGTGGTGGTAGTTTATCGCAGAAAATCGCTATGCCAGAACTATCTCAATTGCAGCAGGGAGATTTTATTTCCGAAGATGTACAACCACTACATTACACACTTACTAAAGAGAAAGATCAATTAGTAAATACACTGATCATTCAACGAGTTACTCGGAAGTATCATGCTGCTAAACTGATTTGTGAAACTGGACATCCTGTGGGTTCGGCTCACCAAACAAGTATCACAATATTTGTGAAACGTAAGTTTTATTTTTGATTATTCTTCTGTATTTAAAGATTTCAAGTTTTAAATAAGTTATTCCGGTTCATATAATTAGTATATGATAGTCTCACAACACGAAATTTCCTCACCAATTAATTAGTCCGCTTTATGGAGCCATTGTTCACATAACACTCGATCAATTGGTTTGAGGCGTACCTATTACCATAATTGATTTATTAATGTACAGTAGTTCATTTATGGTAGCACAAACCAAATATTATGGTGCTCTTTGTCACTTATAGACGAGACATCTGTGAATCTAATGAAGCCCAATCTAGCTTCAAAATCTTGATCATTTTAAACTAGTTTGTAGTAATATGTTAATTATTTGTAACTGCTAGAGGAAAATAGGATTCTTTTACAAAGATTTGCTTGATTGGAAATGTAAAGAAATAATATAACTTAAACTGAAACATAATACGTATGTACCATATAACATTTAACTAGGGATTGCAAATATACTGAGAACTCTAATAAGTAAGAAATCCTATGTAGCCAACAAACAAGATGAAAAAGCACAAGAAGTACTTTATTAAGTAATGGATCTATTTACCACTGAAATGTTGTGACAGGTTAGTTATGAAACAGTTTTCTTAAGCGTTACACCCAAAGTTCAGTAATTAAAATGAAGACACATTGAATGATAAAACAGTAAACAGCAGATAATTGTTGCTATTATCTAAAATCCTAGAAAAACGGATATGTGCAGTTTGATATTTTGAACTAGTGCCTTTAACTACTTTCATCTTCTTTTATAGAAGAAATGGTTTGCGGCTAGCAGTAGAATACATGGCAAGCGTTTTGCTCCACTTGAGACAGGTTGATTTGATATACCCGGATCCCAGTGTTGTTGTTCCTACCGTGATACGAAGCCAATACTTTTCTCCTTAAGTTTTAATCACAATCCATCTCTCTTATTTAAGCTTGTAAGAAATAATCCGTACAAGATCCATATATACCAACTTAGACTGATCTAAACTCAGTCGAAAATGGCAACCCTTTTGGATAATCCAAACACTTAAAAACTAAATCATTTCCACCCCCCAACCAAGATAAGTTACAGATCAACCTAAGATATTTGGATGCTATAGTGAACATATGAACAATACATTTAATATAACAAGTTTGACTTGTTTCCTGATTACGAAAACGATCAACTTAATAGCTTTCATATAGCAATTTTAAAATAAGTATAAAATGTACGCCCAATATCTAGTGCTTATTAATATAATCACTGAATAAATAATCGGGAAAATCTAATACGTTTACATAGAAAAGAATGTATTCATACCTTCAGACTAGCGACTTTACAATCCATCTCAGCTGTAGCTGGACACTCACACTTTCTTAATCATGTAATGTTTGTACTTCAATATGATTACCGTTACACCTTAACAGAAATCTTAACATTCATTATCATTTTTAAATCGCTAAATCCCAAATAACACAGAGAACAGATAATTGATCTTAAATTACTTGAAAAGGAAAAAAACAATGTAACTCTAATCGATCTATTTATCAAATCCATAGATGAAAATGATTAGTAACTTATTAGTTTTACTGATTTAACTGTAAATATAATGTTAAATTAAGAATATCATTTGTATACTTCATATATTAATATAATAAAATACAATTAAAATCTAATTCATAATGGAAGAAAATATTTTCATATCAAAATAATTAAATAAATTACATCAATTACGTGAATCAAAGGTGTAAAATAAATCACATAACCATTTCCTTTCTTTTCATGATTCTAACAAACATTCAAAAGATTACAATTGATTGATCACTGTTTGGTAATCAGTGTCATGTGTGTCATGTTCTTCTTAGTGCAGATCGAATGCTATCGACCAAGTTGCAATGTGGCCACTACTCTTGGTCGACAGCATTCGATCTCCACTAAGAAAGATTTGACAAACATGACATTGATCACCACCCAGTGATCAATCACTTGTGATTACATCTCAGCCCTACAGGAGCTCAGTTGCGGCCCGGATAGCCTAGTGGTAACGTGTCTGACTGTGAAATTGGGTGACACGGGATCGAATCCCTCAAGCAGTACCAGTTCCTTCAGAACTACAGGTACACCATGCTGACGGGTGTCAAGTAGCACGAACCCCGGGTCCAGTGTTTCCTGTTGAGTACGTCTAACTACCATCTAATTCAAAAGATTTAATCTTAACTATTGAAGAAATTGACATTTGAAAACGATTATAATGCTAATACTAGTTTTTTTTAAAACGAAAATTCACAATAAAAAAATTGTGTAGAATATCTATCACCAGCCTAAAGTAAGATTATAGTCATCTAAAAGAATATAATGAGGTAATCACAATACTTTGATTAAGAAGAGTTAAAATTATAAATTAGTTTTGTTAAGTATGAGTTGTGACAAAATTTTGGGTTCTATTTAAGATAATTATAAAACAAAGGCTTTCAAAATAGGCTTCTTCAAAGGTATTACACACACACAAGTGATTGAATATGATATAGATTTGAATGCTACACAATTGATAGATTTCAATTTTTTTCTTGTTTCGATAAATGTAATACATTGACCATTCATATTTAGTCAGAGAGAGGACGATGTTATTAAAGCTTCATTACATCTCATTGCGTTCTAACGAAAATAATGAATTGTTATTGATCATATAAACCATTGCTTTTAGTACATTTGTATAATAAAACGATAAGATATGATCTAATATTGATAGACAGTAAATAATGTTTGCCTTTTAAGATAGAGTAACTACTTGAAGATTAATTTCAGTTAGTTCTTTAGATATTTTAAATACTGTTAAAATAAGAAAATGACCTATTCAATCTCATTATCCTCTACTAACAATAAATACAATCATTTTTCCAGTTTCAGATAACTAGGGCTCAGAAAAATGTTTCCTACGTCTTCATTTAGACAATAACATATTCTCTATGTTTACGAATGATATCGGCTTATAAGGTATACCAATTAAAACTCCAATCAGTCTTTATCAAACTTGATAACCGTAATATATTTTATAGAAGTGTGAAAGAGTTCAATGTTTCATCATTTCTTCATTTATGCTAATTGTTTGAATTAAAACATTCTGTAAATAAATCGAAAAAACCCATTTTATCAAAGTAATTAACATAAATAAAAGTGTTTTAATAAAAATTCTATTCAATGTATTATGATGTCATAATTTGATTTATTATTTTGATTAAACTTGTAAGCTTGTTTATAGCTTTCTTTCAAAAGGGTTACACAAGTACATAAGTACAAGTTTACCTGTCAATTGATAATATTTTATTTTATTAATGATAATGATGATGAATTTATAGACAGGAACAAAAGAAGAAAAAACAACAGCTTTCCATTAAAATAATTATAGATATTCAGGAGGAGAAGTTACGCCTGTTACTCCTCGTAAAAGACCATAGGCCGCTCACTTGCATAAATAGATATTAGAACAATCATAATACATAAGAAAATTAAATTGTATACACTATATAGAGTATTTTAAGCAATTTCAATCATTCAAGTCACTCGATTAAACTTTTAAGGGATTTTAAAGTTAAAAATTTTTCAACTTTTCTATCATTAGTAATTAATCAATACAAGTTTTTATAAATTTAACGTATAGAAGTCGTAGAGAAAGCATTACTTGGTACCAATTGGAAAACCGTATCTATGGAACAGACTGGTATTATTTTATTCTACGTGATTGACAGTAACTTATAATGATAAAAATCGTAACGTTTACTCATACTGTTCCTTATAAAGAATCATGGTTCAAAATTAATTTAAATAAACGAGGTTTGATGAATAAAATGAGAAGGATAGAAGTTCTGTCGATTTAATTCAATGGTTAATTTATTGATTTATTTGACTTGATGTAATTGACAAACGAATTACAAAGCTAAACTTCTTTTCTGAGTAACAAGTAGTTGATTGATTGTGACAAGTAAACATTTGTTCACTAATTTACAATTAAATATGAAAGTAGACCTTAAATTAAGACTGATTTACTTTCATTAAAATTTGGCAATACATTTCATAGCTTTCTCAGTGTTTTACTCAACTGTCCTGATATGAAGTAGCAATGTGAACTGATATGGACCTATGATAGCTGCTACATTGTTTATGTCTGACCGAAGAATGAGAAAAACTGAGAATTGAATTAATTTGCATTAAATATAAATTTATCCTGAAGTGATATAATCTTTAGAACCATTGAAGAAGTGAAACACGTGTAGTTCATTTGTATCATCATGAAGCTACCCAACTGTACTTATTCGTAGATTAATCTTATACCCAAAAGTTTCTTAATCATTCTTAACATATACACCGTTGAAAGTTTTAGCAGTTAACAAAACTATGAACTGTTGTTTCGTTATTTGCAACATTTTCCCAATATGTGAGGTAAACTGTCATCAAATGAATGAAATTCATCATTCTGATTTATGTTGTTAACACAATAATGAAGTTATGAATTATTAAAACTAGTCGGTGGAGATTTTACAATTGTCCAATCTTATCATAGTTCATCAGTAATTTTAACGAACTGAAAATGTTTTCCTAAAGTGATAAATCAACCTTTAACTAATCATCTTCTTAAGTGAGAAACTCTTGTTCTTTAATGTGTCTAATCATTTTATAAATTTATCTTAAGGAGTTTTAAACAATAAATGTAAAGTAGATTTAAGAGCACTGATATTAAGTTGAATTACCAATACTGTTAATCTGAACGAATAAAATTTTCTAAAATCAATTAATTGATGTCATTTTAGCAAGGAAATTCGACACAAATTCTAGATAGTAAATGAATATTATAGAAACAAATACAATTATTCAATAGAATTGAACTGTAATGTTTTGTTTGTTTGCTTCCTTTATTATCTATCGCCTTCTCATTCTGTACATTCTTGTATTACACAAATATGTGACTCGCTTGTGTTCCGAGTGTCTATTTCATATTATTATTATTATTA